AACTATCACAAAGCTAGGTGCAGTAGTCAAAGACGTGCACGACAGAGTGGAGTCGGTCGTGTGTGTGCTGTGCTGGCTGGTTGAGATCGACAGAGCCTTCTATCCACTTCTACACCAGTACTGCCTTGAGCCGTCTAGCCAGTCTTGCTTGACTCGGACATGGGCGAGGGCGACTTGTAGTTCATCTCGTCCATCATCATCTCTTCATCACTGTCCACCGCCATGGTGCTGTGATTGTACAGTCCCTGTGCCATTAGGTGCATCGCCAGAGGATTACGCGATCCAGTGGATTTCTTAATTTTTGCTCGCTTATTTTGAAACCAAATTTTGATCTGCGACTCATTCAGTTTCAGCTCACGAGCCAGGTCTTGTCGACGCTTTTCATTGAGATATCTGCAATGAGAAAAGGTGGTGTCAGCAAACTGGTGAGTCAATAAGAGTAGTTTTGCTTACCTATTCTCCTGGAATTCGTGCTTTAGCCGAGCTAGCTGTTCAGCGGTGAATGCCGTTCGTGGCCTCTTTTCGTCCACTTTCTTCTCCTTTTTCTTAATTTTTCGAGATCGAGGGCCTAAATGAGGATGAAGAAAAAAGAAAAAGAAATTAGAGGAATGTACAATGACCACACAACGATTCAAAAATAAACGGTAATAAATTTCTGCCAACGTGTGTTGCCCCTGTTGATGATATCATTGCATTAAATTGAGCATTCAATTGGTCAATGATAACACTAAGCCCCTTCACACAACAGTGCCCTTCACTGTGGAAGCCTTCTCGCCACCAGGCTGCTAATTACCAACTCGCCAGTGCCTCAAACTACACTCAATGCAGATAAACACAGCAATTCAGTGCTGTGGATGCTCGAGTGGATGCTGACAGTGACAAACGAGCTAATTGAAAGTGTGCGCACACACACAGACAGACAGACCACCGGTGCTGCAATGACCGGCCATAGCCCTGATCGCAGTGAGCGCAGCCAGTGTGTCATCAGCAGGCCAGAAGTGCGAAGAAAGCCACTTTACAGCTAATGAAGACCAGTCAAGAAAGCAACCAGTCTGTGTGAAAGATGCAACAAGGGAGCATAGGGCACGCACAGCAGCAGCAAAATGTCTCTATGAAGTGAGTGACATTCTATTTATGTCGCAGCATGCAAGTGCATTCACAGCCAAACGGATGGATGGATTCAACAGGCCTAGCGAAAGGCGTGAAAGTGAACCAGTGACAGTTGAGTTGCACTGTTGATGGAGTGACACGACACTGCGCCTCCTTCACCGCTGTAGAGACAGCCAGACAGTCAGAAATGTAGACAGACAAACTGGCAGACCTTGTTGGCACGGGCAGTGACAGTGCAGTTTTAATCGCTTTTTAATGAGCTAATGAGTGCACGATGCAATGGATGCCTCGCTGACTGACAGTGATCATGCTGCAGCCAGTTCAAGTGAGCTGCCACTTGCTGTTGCTGTCAGTTGTTGGCGGAGAAGCTGTCCTACCACCGAAGAATGTCTCTTCTTGTCTGTTTGTGTGTCCTCGGTGACACTTTGCACAGCAGTACAACAACAGTCGTCGTGTGCAGGCACACCAAAAACACTCAAATGGCATAATTAATTAGCGCTCCGTTGTCAATGGAAATGATAACGTTTGCTTTTGCAAAAACTTAAACAGATCAATCAAATCAGTGTACTGATCGTCGCCAGCAGCTGGCAGTACACAGTTTGATTTCTAGTATTTTTTACTGTTGTTGCTGAGGGTGAAAACATAAAATATATGAAAAAGGATGGGCACTGAAAAGAAAAAGGAATGAGCACAAAGTGGACTAATTGCCACTTGGTCAAAGATGAAATATGGCTCTTTGGGTGTTTAGGGAGACCACCACCACCACCACCACCACCACCACCACCACCTTTAATGGGAGAATTCAATTACTGCTTCACTAGAATTACTACTACTGGTAAGTGCTGTTGGGTAGAAAAGATGTTCTTCTTCTGCCTACAACTACCATCATCGCTCCCTATTACTGTGATCATTTATTATGTTATATCCAGTACAGAAGGAAGCGAGTGCAGAGAAGCGGACGGCTCTAGGCACACTGGTCGCTGCGATATGGCCAAAAGAGATGATTATTACGTTATGTGGAAACGGTCCTTCGGTGCAGTATTCTCTCACTCAATTGCCCTAGTCGCTGTCATGCGCCCTTTCTACGTTCCGGCATATGTATCAGCAAGGACGGTGGTAATAATCATCTCCACAGTGTGCTCTTCATTTAATTAAAGCCTACGTCGTGGATGGACAAGTCTGATGCCTGTTCTGGTGACTGTCATAACTCACACACCACAGACCCAATTGGCCTGACTGCTTCACTGCCTCAGCCAAACTTGCACTTTCTCTGGGTAGCCTTTATCGCGCCATGCCAGACACACCACCGTCAGCAGATGAAGACCGACGAGAGAGAGAGAGAGAGAGTCTGTTAGGAGTGCATCAAGGAGGACCATATAGCTGGTGCCATGTCGACGTGTGCTCCCTGGCTCATTATCGGCGGCGTCGGCTGCTGTTGCTGCTGCTGCTAGTGCGGCACCTCTCGCCCATTCTGGCCAAATAAAGCACGCTTATTAATAGATGTTTGTACTGTGTCTGCTCAAGCAAGAGTACATACACACAAACTCTTGACACGCTCACACTGACGCCAATCACGGCCTGTGGATGCTGAGAAAACGAGAGGCAGAGAGAAAGAAAGAAAGGAGGGAAGGAGCAGCAGCAAATTCTCCGCTGTCGTGTCATTAATTTTGACGCGTGCACTGCTGAAAGGGATGCAGGGGCGAGTAGTAGTACTCACACATACACTCACACCATCATCACTGCCACTACTACAGCTGAAGTAGTACATAATTGGTTAATTTACAGGCCTTTAATGAAATTTCCGGACGTTTTGTTGCTACAACGGGCAGCAGAAAGATAAGCGCACCCCAGCTGCATCAGTAGCAGCAGTAGTCGTCGCTCGTCAGAGACAGATTGGCGGAGAATGCGGGGAAAGGTCACCAAAGCAGAAATAATTAGGATCCCCAATTGGGATCAAAAGCGAGCACATAGAGCACATGAAGCTGCACCAATCGGCAGTACGATAACGGCTGCCAGTTGCTGGCAATTGGCATTCCGGCGAGTGCTCTATTGTTGGCGGCACTGGTACCTCCTCGAGGCCCCTTCTCCCTCTCTCTCTTCCTATCCCCTCTTCATCCGCCTGTGCCATCGGCTCGATTAGATCGAGTTGGCCTATTAGGAAACAATTACACCGCCATTAGATGCAGCGACCACCGCGACGATAGGCGCACCAGACAGATAGACAGGGTGCAATTCAGTGCTAGATGCAGTGGACACATTTGGCCACTGGCAGATAAGAAATGGCCAACAAGATGTGTGTGCGAGTGTGTGTGTGTGTGGCCAGTTAATATATTCCCCTCAGTGTCCATAATCGTAAATCGAGCGTCCGTGTCTAGCAGTGCCGGTCGAGAGGCAGCAACAAAGTGACAAGGAGTAAGTGAATGCGCCCTTNTGGATTACCGCCATGACGCATTCAATTGAACGAAGCCTCCTTTCTCGGATCATTACCTTCTGTAGGGAGAGTGGTGCCGCCAGCTTGAGCAGACTGCAATCTTCGGATCACTATGCGGATAAAGGTATTACGCTCAGCCAGTTGGTGGTACCAGTCAAAGTGTGGAGGTGAAAATGGTCAATTAAATGCCAAGATGATTGGATATTGCAAAAAACAAGAAACAGTGATCAAGAAAGGAGCAGTGACGAGTGCTACGGAGACAAACAAAAGTAAAGAATGGAAAAAGGCTAACTGTTTGACATGCAACTATGGCCCACTGGAAACCTATAAGTGTGGAAAAGTGTGCCATCGGTGCCGGATGGAGCGATAACCGCTAGATGGGTGAGTGGGAGAGAGAGACAGAGAGCATGCCAATAGATCGATGGCAATCGGCCCACTGCTTCCAATATAGAGCACTATTAAAAGACCATTAAGATGGGGAGTCTGCGTGGCAAAGATCTGTCTTAGAAGCTAGCACTGGACACTGTCAGGCTGTTCCAGCAGCAACAGCAGCAGCAGTACTGACAAAGCCAGTCACCCAAACTGTGAACCCGTCATTGGGGGTCATTCAGAGACTGATGCGATTCACCTCTCCCCAGACTACTGCTCACAATTATCTGCTAATTGCGCTCGTGGCAATAAATGAAGGCCTATTAGCACGGGTGATTCGAGTCGCCTGAGCAGATTCGTCGATACGGAACTAGACAGCATCAGCATCGGTGTGAGCAATCTTAATGGCTCTTTAATTTGTCAACATAAATTACCATTGCAATGTCAAGGTGGCATTTGCGCCCGCTTCAACACTGATTTGATTGTTTATCAAAGTGTTCACAACCACAACGACGACAACGATGAAGGCGCTCACGGGCACACCGTCCGAGAGTGAAGGAGGAAAATTGTCGATTGCAAATGGAGACTTCACAGTGAGCAATGACAAGGCTGTAGTTGACAAGCTTGCAAAGCATTTCTAATCACCGTGAGGAGTGCTGCACGAGAATTGTCGCCGGTCGTTGAGAAGAGGCAGAGGAGACACTGTCGGCAGAATTTGACGATTGTCGATTGTCTAACTATGGGAACATTCTTTCTTGGACTCGCAATCGCAATTAAATTGCCTGTGACTTCTCCTCTTTCTTTGCAGGTATGCAAAAGACTGTTTGTCTGTCTGTGTGACCAATGGGTCACCACAAGTGGGCACAGTGATTTGTTTTTCCCTCAAAGCAAAGATCAATTCAAATTCTCCTGTCGACCGAGAGCACTCACTGGCGGGCGCCCACCTCTGCGCACTTGGGCACTGTCCATTGAAAAGATCACCGCAGCAGTGCTCGGCGAGTGATGATCAGCTTTAGTGATGCGATTGCACAAAGATAGCAAAATCTCTCTCACTCTTTCTTTAATTAGACTAAAGTATTTTGGTTATCGCTACTGCAAATGCGCATGCTACTACTAAGGTTGAAGTTGAAATCCTTTCGGTGGAAGAAGAAAGGCACGTCAGTAATTTCCAGCCATCAGGATGAAGGCAGTAGCACTGGCGGTGTGATGATGTGCAGTGTTCACGGCTAGCCAGTTTGCAAACATTGAGGGTAACCTGAGCGTGGAGATGACGACGACGACGGTGCCACTCTGGCCACGAGTCTCCGCTGCTGCTGCTCTCTTCCTTCACCCAGCCAACACCGCCGTGAAGAACAAGGTGTGTGGCCTGACGGCGATTGTCAGTGCGATGGAGTGCATCCCGCATCCGAGCTGTGACAGCAGCAGCAGCCGCAGTCACAGTCTTTCTCGCTCTTTCACAGCGCGTAATGTGTGGCCGCTGGTGCGAGAGCCATTAGCTCATTAGATGGAGACAGATCGCCGAGCACAGATGACATTTTCTAATCGATGTCACTGCCAAGCGGAGCTGTCATCTGATACGGCTCGGGAGGCACCATCCCTTCTCTCCTTCCCTTCTCTCCTTCCCTTCCTCCCTCTCTGTCCCTCTCTTTCTCTGGCTA